TTATGGTAGTGGGCAAGGAATACTAACAACTGATAATTTCGTCTATAAATTGAATAAAATTCTCAAGTGTTACAACATAAACTCTTAACGCTAGAGTATTTCATGAATTTCCCACTAAAAATTGGAAATGTCACTATAAGAATTTGACAAACGCATATGTTTCATTAGTTCATATTTTTCTTAGAAATAATGTATTATGTATGTTATATTCTCAATCAATATATAACGATTTGCTTTGAAACTTATGAAATCAGGTTTTCTAAATAAGGAAGTTGTGCAATCGGATTACTATTTGTAGTATTACTAATACAACCCATAAAATCGTTATTAGTAATTCATAATAAATAAATAGTAAATAAAATAATTTAATATAAAAAAATGTACTAAGACCATGGTTATTTCTACATGCAAAGATATATTTAAATCATTGCACACAACACGGTTTCGAAGGGAGAGCGTAGCTATCGTGTTGTGTGACTTTACAATTATTTATATGGTTTGGTTAAGGTAAATATATACTGTGATTCATATGGTTATAGTGGCTCACTGGAGTCTTAGAAGTGCCTGCAAGCATAGATCTATGGGTCGTGTTTGAAGCATTTTCTTATTTGCTCTTTGTTTGCTTTTCCTTTAACAGATTATTCCGGGAAGTATAGATGCAGTTTCAAAAGTAAAAAAGTAAGAGCATATATTCATAGAAAGATGAAATATCGATTTTTCTACCTATTTTACATATCCAATAGACTTACTCTACTTACTGTTACTACTTTACGTATACCGTTCTTTAAGCCTTTCATCACTATTAGTTTAAAACAATACATTTGTACTGAGTCGTAAGTCCCTCGGTTCACTTTATAGTTTTGTTTATAAATATTTTGTTTGTATCTAAACAACTTCAAACACTGTATGTTATGCAGTTTTATTAAGGAAATAGACGTGTGTATTTACATATCAATGTAATTCGTGTCTAGTATCAGTGCAATAAATAGTTGAAAGAACCTCAAATCGTGTAGAATTCCATGCCATCAGAAATACATTCAATCAGGACCCATTAACCGTAGACGGGCCTTGGAGGGGCGTAGCCACGAAACTCGCGGGACTCGAAGGACTCGGAGGAGTCAGGGTAGCGAGCCTCTCCCTCGTAGGACACCTCAGGGAGGAATCCTGAGTCTCCTTGGACAGCGAACCTGACGGTCTGCAGGCGGCCGTCGGGGAGCTGCACGTAGTAGGATCCTTGGGTGTCGTGGCCGTCGCGGGCCTCCTGGTGGCCGAAGTCGTTGCCGGAGTCGTCGTGGTCCACCTTCCACTCGAAGTTGTAGTGGGCGGGGCCGGATTCCTCAGAGGAGAACTAGTTGAAGTTAGATCAGTTTCACGTTATTAGTATGCTTCGGCAAATTCTAGTTTATCTTTATAAAATGGTCAAAGCATATAGCATGTGCATGTCTGTAAAGTTGTAGTGGGCGGGGCCGAATTCCTCAGAGGAGAACTAGTTGAAATCAGATCAGTTTCATATTATTGATATGCTTCGACAAATTCTAGTTTATCTTTATACAATGGTCAAAGTAGCATATAACGTGCCTGTATGGAAAGATCACCAAGTGATAGATGACATACCTGTGGCGCAGAATAGGAGTATGGTCGCCTATCGGCAGCAGCCACAGCCACCGCGGCCAAAATGAAGAAAACCTGAGAATTGAAACCTTAGAATTAGAATTTCTCTTTCCAAAAGACGCTCTTGCATGTAAGCTCATCAGTTAGCGTTTGTTCATATGTAAACCTCACACTTACCTTGCTGTTCATTGCCGTGGCGATAGAAGATCGTGTGCTGTTCAGAAGCGAGAATTCCGAATTTATACTCGAGTGTGAGTGACGTCACGAGGCAAGTTTTTAGTCAAATCAGGCATCATGTCCTGTTTTCATGGAACTGGAACGAGATCATGGGCGAATTCTCATGACAACAGGCAGAAAAATCAGCATTCATAATCAACTAATCCATACCATGTCTTTTTAGTTTTGTGAAACATTAAGTTACTGTGTTAATTCTGTAGATGACATCTTTATCTCGGTTATAAGTAAAGCACACACACACATACATATAAATATAAATATACACAATATATATATACATATATATACATATATAAATAAATGTATATGTATTTTCTTTTTGTTTTATGTATATGTAATATATCGATATATCTATATATAATATATATACATATAAATATTTGAATATGTATGTATATGCACACACACACACATGAACATATCTATCTGTCTCTCTCTATATATGTATACGAGTATATATACACATGTAATATATAATATTATATATATATATATATATATATATATATATATATATATATATATATATTATATATATATAATATATATATATATATATATATATATATATATATATATATATATATATATATATATATATATATATATATATATGTATATATATGTATATTCATATATATATTTATGATAT